AGGCTAGGCCTTTACACATGGAACTCAGATCCAGGTTGTATGACTTCCCTTGTCGGAACCCAGGGCCTGCTCTTCTGACTCTCCCCAAATTTGACCTACCTTTTCTGCAGGTGGAACTGGAACGGGGCAAGACACTGCACATCAAAGCCCTGGCAGTGAGTGATCTGAACTGGGCTGGCCAGAGGCAGGTTTTCTTTGAACTCAATGGGCAACTTCGGTCCATTCTGGTTAAGGACACCCAGGCAATGAAGGTACAGTACTCTCAGGGCCAACCAGGTGGCTGGGCTGGGCCTGACTTGACCTGTTGTCTCATGTCATCTGTCTTGTTTGCAGGAGATGCACTTCCATCCCAAGGCTCTGAAGGATGTGAAGGGCCAAATCGGGGCCCCTATGCCTGGGAAGGTCATAGATGTCAAGGTGGCAGCAGGAGCCAAGGTGGTTAAGGGCCAACCCCTCTGTGTGCTCAGTGCCATGAAGATGGAGACTGTGGTGACTTCGCCCATGGATGGCACTATCCGCAAGGTTCACGTGACCAAGGACATGACACTGGAAGGCGATGACCTCATCCTAGAGATCGAGTGATCTTGCTTCAGAGTGGCAGCCTGGCCAACCCTACCCCAAACCTCCCAACAGAAGCTGTGCAGCCAGGGCAGGCCCAGGCCAGCCAGTACCCGAGGGCAGGAAGGCCAGGCCCTTGAGGTCCTGTCCCAGGGTACAGCACACACTACCTGCAGTGGTCCATTCCCTTCGGTCATTTGTCCTTTCCTTATGGACAGGCAGTTGCTCATGTTCTCATCTCTTGCCAAATAAGGGGCTGCTTCTATGGGAGACTACAGGTGTACAGCTGGTGGCCTTGGGACCTGGGGGAGGTGGTTTAGGGGTTCTACCTCTGGGGGTAGGGGGAAGACCTAATTCGCAGGTCCTGGGAAATTTGCTCAATAAAAGTGGCCTTCCCTTGCCCTCCACACTAGGTCATGACAGTCTACACCATCTCTAGTGCTGTCTCCAACCCAGGGCAGTGTGGGTGGGGTTCTCTCAAATTCCCATGAGATCTAGGTCAAATCTGTTTTACTTAAGAAAAAAAAAAAGAAAGAAAACTTCCTGGATCTCAGGAAAGTGGACGCCTGCAGCCTGTCTGCCCAGTGTTCTCAGGGTCCTGGCACCTGACTTTGGGAGAGAACAAGTCAGTGGGCCTAGGCTGCATCCTCTCTGGACCCCAAGATCTAAATGTTCTATCTACCCCCTCACCTCCCTAGTGCCAGCTTCTACATAGGCTGGAGGTGAGAGGCGCTCTTCAGGGAGGCACTGGGGGAATGAGTACATACCTGTTTTCTCTCAGGCACCAGCTCTAGGGACCCAGTTTCAGGACAATCCTGAATGTGGGAGACTTAAAAGGATAAAGGGAAAAGGGCTACAGGAAAACAACCACTCTAGAGCAGGGAGAAGCCGGGGGCCCTAAAGAACCTTGAGTTGCTGTGTTGCTTGGCAGAGTCCTTGCCACTCTCAGTGCTGTGACCTTTGTCCTGGGTGCAGCAGAGGGACAGCAGTCCAGTAGAACCAGAAACCACTCCTCCTGGAGCAGCCTCTGTGCTCTGGACCTACATCCCAGTGTAGAATGAGGCTCTGGAGCCACCCCCCACCAGCTCTCAGGACACAGATCAGAGCTGTGGGTCTTACTCCCTGACCTCAATAGCAAAGGTGCAGGCCCCACGATGGGCTGGACTGGGTTCCCACCTGGTACCTGACAGGCACAGGAGCTCAGGAGAGAGTGAACCACAGCCTTGGCAGCTAAAGGCCCCACCCCATCCTCTGCTGTTGGGACCTGCTTGCCAGGCTCACCTGCCCAGGTTAGCAGTGTTCAAAGTAGCCAAGAGGAGTGTACATACTGCAGTAGTATAGTGTAGGCCTAAGTCCTCACCAAGATCCAAGTACATGGACTCCCAAAGGTTCAAGACAATGTTACCCAAGTTAAATCTCTTTAATATCCCAATACAAAGTCTTGATGCAAAAAGACAATGAGAAAACCCTGGGAAGTTGGGAGGGTTTTATAAATAAACCCACTGAGCAGCTTTGAGGGGAGGGGAGCAAAGAGAAGCAGCAGTCCAAAGAGGGAGTGCACAGCTCCTAGAATTTCTCCTGTCCCCTCATGTCCAGCTGCTCCTCAACCCCTCTATCAGAGAGGCTGTACCCTTTGGATATCTGCTACTTTCTCTTGGTCCCTGGGGTTCAACTAGCTCTGGCTTCAATCCCCTACAAAAATTCCTGAGATCTCGGGGACCCCAGCCAGCCCTGCCCTTGCAGTATTCCTTGATAAGGAAGAGCTGGAGAGCCCGTCAGAGTTCACTGGAGTGTACACAAGAGTGATGGTCAGGAGCACAGTAGGGTCTCTGAGGCTCCTGTTCGTTCCAAAAGCACACAAAGGGGAAGGCTGCCGTAGAGCTTGGGGTCCGTCAGGGGCTGAAGCAGAAGCAGGAAGAGTCCCACACCAAGAGCATAGCCTGCCAGCAGTGGCCACTTCTGTGGATGCTCCAGGGCTGCGCATACAGCAGGGAAGCCCATGTAGTTGCAGAAGGAGTGGCAAAGAACTGGCCCTATCAGGTGTCCTGGAGAGGGAGATGGTGTGACATGAAACGGCCCCACCACTTCTGACCCCCGTGTCATAATCTTTCAAACCTTAAAAAGCTGAGGGCCCTGGCTCTGTCTGCTTCAAGGACTGTGCTAGAAGAAACTGTCACATTCACAGTACCCCCTTCTCCCGCCCTCATCTGGGGCCCCGAGGACCAACCTGTGCGGATGAAGAGGAAAGCTGTGTAAGCACCGAAGACAGCAGTGTAGGAGAACTGGAACGCTGGAGACAGAAGCTGCGAGTGACTACACCTGATGCCCACCCTGCTCCAGCCCTGCACATCCCACAGCCAGAGACCACCCTTTCCCCTTTGACAGTGGCTGCCCCACCATCTATGGCTGTTCTCTGTACCCCACCTCCCATGACCAGTGGTCTCCATTCAACATTTATAGCCCCGTGTTTCCAGCTCTTTCTGTAGAGTGGCTGTCAGGCATATCATAACACCCAGCCCCTAGCTGTGCCAAGCAAGCTCCCCAGGCTCACCTGCAGACAAGAAGATACTCCCCACACTGCTTTGGCGGAAACGTAGCTGCTCAATAATGTGATGAAAATGGGCTGGGAGGAAAGTGAAAACCACATCGTATTCCTCTGGCCTGCTATCTAGCTCACCCCTCACCCCAAGCCCCATTTTCAGCCCTCATGCTGGGAACATCTTTACTGGACCAGTTAGACTCACCAACTCCAAAAAAGAGCGGGCAGGTGAACACAGCAGGGCCCAGACCTGTGCATGGCGCTAACATGGGCAGCATACAAGCCCGGAACACCAGTTCCTCTGTCAAGGGTGCAATAACTTGGTTTCGTAGCCAGCGCATGTCTGTGAGGCAGCGGGCCCAAGAGCGAGGGGCTAGGGTAAATTCAGGATAAATAATGAGTGCCTAGTTACTAAAAAGAGGGACCTTACCACCCGGGGGCCTCTCCCACAGAATTATTCTGGCCAAACTCAGGTCAGGAACCCTGAGAATCAGAATGGGGAAGGGAACAAATCTCAGCACACATAATCACAATGTCTTGAGATATAGTTGACAATGGGAAGGGAAGGGAACAGTAGATGAGGGAGTCGGTAAATTTAACCAAGGCCAGTCTGGGGAAGCCAAGGATGGAAAAGCAGGGGAAGGTGCTTCTGACCCAAATCAAGTACTGTTTTGGGTCCTGAAAGACCTCCTTGAATATCATAAATTTACAAGGTACCCAGCAATATGATCCACTTTACTGGTGAAGAAACACCCAGAGAGGTGACATCTCGCCTCTTCAGTCCAGGTCACAGCATCTCACTGACTCCTTTCCCCAGTGTCCTGCACTGCCTGTGCCTACCTTTTCCTCAGTCTTGAAGACTCACCCAGGACAACCTTCAGCCCATCTGTCAGGTCACACGGGCAATCCATAGAGAGCTGCATCAGTGGACCCAGGAAAAGGATCTGGGGGCAGAAAGACTGATCAAATGAAAGACTCACCACAACCCAATGACCTTGCTCACATAGTGTCCTTGGTTAGCCTCAGGACCAAGTTTCCTGAGTTCTAGGATTTCCCAGCCATGCACACCAGGGGGCTCAAGGGTCATATCACAATTCCTGTCTGCCAACCTCCAAGACTGGACACAAGGGCATTTCATTACACTAGTGAACACAAGGTAGGAAAAAGGAACCAGGACTCACCATAGTTAGCAGCAGCGGCAGCAGAGCTGCTGGGAAAATGCCCTCCAGCCTGAAGCCCATCAGGGTGAGCAGTGATGTGCCTGGCTGAGCCACAGGAAAGGGGGCATCAGTGATGTTCCCTCCCACAAAAACCTTGGATTCTTTCCCTGCTTGCCCTGTGCCCCGCCTCCTTCGCACCTGGATGCCAGTGAGTTCCCGCCAGAGTAGCACGCAGAGAGGGGACAGGCTGGAGACCACCAGGACACTGGTGAAACGCCGCTTGATGACAGCAGGGTGGTCCCTAGGAAGGATCAGTAAGTTCAGGGGGCCAGTAGCAGCCACTTGCCAATGCGGCCCCACCCCCGTACGGCCCAAGCCCCGCCCACAACCCCGCCTCGCGGATTCCGGCCGCGCGCGCAGCCCCCGCACCTGGGCAGCTCGCTCTTCCACACGTAGAGGCTGCCCACGTAGGAGCAGGCGAGGCTGAAGCAGGAGAACACGGACACCCAGCAGCACAGCCCCGGGCCCGGGCCGCTCAGCGCGGTTGACTCGGGCTGCCGCTCAGGCCGCGATACCGACAGTAGGCGCAGCCCGTCCCCGCCCAGCGCCGCCATCACGCCCGGATCCGTGGCGCGCGGCAGTGACGTATCTGCGTGGATGACGTCAGGAAGCGGCGCGAGCTGCCGGTGGCCCCGAGGTGCCCCTCCCCTTGCACCATAGCGGAGACTCTCTGTGCTTGGAGCAGCTTTATTGAACTCTAGAAGGCACCACACACGCGTCCCGGGCGCTTTGGCCCGCTGGGATCCTCAGTAGCGGACGTTTAGAACCTGCGTTCCGGACTCAGCCACTCGGACAGATTGGAGACCTCTTGCAGCCACAAGTCCTGCGGGAGCAGAGGACACAGTGGTGAGGACCCAGCGGCAGCAGCCCAGGCTGCCACCCGCCCTGCGCTCGCCGCGGTACCTCCAGGCCGCCCGCAGGGCTCGCTGCGTCTGGCTCCAGGGCTCTGCTTTGGGCCGCTCGGGCCGGCGATCCTCTGGCATTGGGGGAGGCCACAGTGGGCTCGTGGTGGCGTGCGGTGCACTCTGGAGGGCTCGGATCCCTGGCGGAGCACAGAGCTTGCGATTCTTCCCTGCCCAGGCTGGGGCTTCTCTTGAGCTTCTTGTTTTCTGCTTGCCCGCTGCTCTCTAGGAGGAGAAAAGTCCATTTCAAATCTTGCTCCTGCAGCCTTGTGCTGGTGCTGCAGAGTCTTGAGGCAGGGGAGCTGGGCGTGGGCATGGTTCTAAATGAGCTCTCCCACTCCATCCTTCCAGATGAAATCTTTCAACTCCTGCCTTCCGTAACTACCTCCCCCCCCCCACCCGTCTTAGCTGGACTTTGATGGAGGGCATTAGTAACACCCTCCACCCCCGATTGTGTAGTATGAATTCCTAGCTCCGATTGCTTCGGGCAGAAAGCAACTCAGTCTCTCTGGTGTTGTACTAGGCAGCTGCTACAGTTGCAGCCTTTTGTTATTGATATTTAAGCAGGCTGTCACGTAACTAAGGCTGGCCTTAAACTGATCGCCCTGCTTCAGTGTCCCAAGCTCTGGGTTCACAGACATGAGTCAGCTTGCTTTAGCCAGTGGTTCTTAACCTGTCGGTCGCGACCCCTTTGCATTGAACAGCCCTGTTACAGGGGTTGCAAATCAGATATTACGATTCATAACAGAAGCAAAACTACAATTATGAAGTAGCAATGAAAATAATTTTATGGTTGGGGGTTGCATTGCATCATTAGGAAGGTTGAGAACTATTTTCCGCTTATCAGTAACGGGTTCATTTGTGGAGGGGAAGGGAGTCAAGCTCAGGGTCTTGACAAACAGGCAAGCAAGCACTCTGCCCCTCGGGTGCAAATTTACAGCGTCTTTGCCGTGACATATCCCTCCTGAGCAGGTCCCTGGGGATCTCGGCCAACAAATGCACTTTCTTTAGAAAAGCTAACAATAATAAGTACATCACCCAGATTTCCAGTCCACTCAGGTAGCCCCACAATCGCTGTGGCACAACCAATCCCAGCAGGGGGCAGCATAGCCTAACTGCAGTGGTGTAGTTGAACCGCTCCCAGCCGCGGCTTTTACTTCTCTGCTTTTAGCTGAGGGCCTTACCCACATGGGACTGCTGGCCGATAGTCCCATGCCAGTCTTCGGTGCTCTGGGTGGAATGCTTTTTCTCTGGAGTCAGGTGCTGTAACAATTAGAAATTCCAAGTGAGTTTGCAGAAGTCTGACTGAGCCATAGTGAGCCGTGTGCCTGGTGGCTTGATTGATTTATAGGGCGTTCTTCACCTGGAACTCCCTCTTCTCCTAGTTCATCAGCCTCTACTTGACCTCCAACTTTCAAAGCATCCTTCTGTGCAACTCACGCTCTAGCCTTCCCAGCAAGTCTGTTAGTCCCTGGACTTGGGATACTTGCTGACAGTGGAGTATGGCACTGCTCATCATTTTATGTGCATGTGTCCATCTCCCTACTCAGTCTATTTGTGAGGACCTATGTGAATTATGTGTGGAGGCCAGGAGAGGGCGTCAGGTCCCCTGGAGTTGGAATTACATGTTTGTGAGCTGCCTGACGTGATTCTGGTCTGCTGCAAGAGCATGGCCCCTCTTTATGGAGTCCTGACTGTCTGGAACTTGTATGTAGACCAGGCTAGGCTCGAACTCACAGAGATCATCGTGCCTTTGCCTCCTGAGTGCTAGGATGAAAGGCGTACATCACAATGCCTGGCCATGTCTGTTTTAAAATAAATAATTTGGGGGGGGTGAGGAACAGGGTCTCATATATCCTAGAGCTGACCTTGAATGTTTGATCGTCTGTCTCTCTGATCATCTGTATGCATATGTAAATTATTAAATATAAAAATTAAAAAGAAATCTTTAAAAAGATGAAAAATGAGTACTTGCATAGCTCAAAAGTGCATGAAAGCTCCGGGTACAACCCCTAGCACTACATAAAATGGCATAGCACATACATGTAATCCCAGCATGCAGGAGATGAAGGCAAATGAGTATGAGTTCAAGACCATCCTCAGCTACGTAGGAAGATAAAGGCCATTTAAAGATAAAGGTCTCAGATACACAAGAGTCTGCCTCAAAAGCAACAACCAAGCCCTCATCTGTGATTTCTACTCCAAAGAACACCATGGGGAGTGGGAAGTGAAACAGGAGTAGGAGAGAGTGGGCTGAGCTCAGCAGGTGCAGGGCTGGTTTTCAGTGCGGTGGAGTTTGGAAGGGGGGCACAGCACCATGAGATCCTTAGTAGCACCTTTAGAGTTGCACATTTTAAAATGACAAGTCAGCTGGGCATGGTGGTTCACACCTTTAGTCCCAGGCCTCAGGAGGCAGACACAGGCAGATCTTTGATGTGGGATTCCCCTCTGTATGCTGTTTTATTGCCAGTGGGTTAATAAAAAAGCTGCTTTCGGCCAATGGCTTAACAGAGTAAAGCCAAGGGGAAAATCTGAGCAGAGATGAAGGGAGAGAGTTGGTGGAGTTGTAGAGACGCCATGTAGTTGCAGGAGGAGAAAGACTCCCGCACGCCGGTACCATAAGCCTCATGGTAAAGTATAAAATAATAGAAATGGGTTAATTTAAGATATAAGGGCTAGCAAGCAATATACCTAAATGATTGGCCAAACAGTGTTTTAATTAATACAGTTTCTGTGTGATTATTCCGGGTCTGGGTGGCCGGGAAGAACAAGCAGCCTGTGTTTACAGATATCTGAGTATGAGGTCAGCCTGGTCTACAGAGCAGGTTCCAGGACAGCCATGGCTACACAGGGAAACCCTGTCATGAAAGACAACAAAAAAGGTAAGTCCTACATCAGAATTACATCACAGTAAAATACACTCTATAACACACTGCTTCCCCCCTCCCCCCAAAAGACAGTCTTACTACGTAGCTTTGGCTGTAGTGGAACTTACTGTGTAGGCCAGGCTGGGCTCTGTCTCGCAAGTGCTGGGGTAAAGGTGTACACTTCCATACCTGGCTATGTTACAGAGCTATGCAGTTACAGTCACTGCTCAGCATTTCTGTGGCTGGTTCCACAGTCTCTCCCAATAGACCAAAATCCTCAGAGACACATATCCTAAAAGGTGTGTGCCGCCATACCTGGTCTACATTGCTTATTAACACAAGTTCCAACTTGTGTAATTGCATTCCCAGGAACACACTAAGGACAAAGATAGCCCCCAAGAAACAGTGCCGTTTCAGTTTACTCTAGCTGGGGGAAGTCTTAAGTAACAGACATGTCTGACTTCTTTTACAAACTGGTTTTGCTGAGGGATGATCCACCTAAGACAGGTTGCATACCCGTCAATATCTGGGCTTCCAGAGAGGCAGCCTGATCCTCAAAAACACAGCTCCCTGGATTCAACACTGGAACATTCAGTTCTAGTCTGCACCCTAGGAAACCAAACCTTTCCTTAGAGAACTGCCCATTTCTCCTTAAACTATAGATGGGTTGATTCTATATTAGGTGAGTTGGCTAGTTGCCATGGAAACAAAGTGATAGGCCCACAAATAAAAGAATTTGACCTAGGACCTTGATCATGTAGTTTGTGCCTGAGGCCACTGGGTGCCGCTATTGCGCCACCAATGAGTTATCACACAGTGGCTGGTTCTAGAGGGAAGAAGGAATGACAAAGGATGGATGTGCTCTTCTTCCCTGGGCTTGTCACTCACTCCTACAAAGGCACACTGTGATCAGGCTGTGAGCCCTGTGACTAGCAAGTTTTAGGTTTTACAGTTACCTTGTCTATAAGATGGACAACAATGACCTAGCTCAGAACATCTTTGTGGAGACTGAGGTGGAAATACAGACTAGGTATTCTGTAAATGCTCCTTTCTTCTGAGATCCTTGGGTTCACCAGCCATCTGCCAAGTTAAGTGGGCTATGGATGGCCCTTAGGCTAGGACCAAACAAGGTAAAGAGGTCAGATAGAGTCCTTCAGATCTCACTGGGATGTCAGAGGTCCACCAAAAGATCTCCAGAAACAGGCACTCTAGATCCTGAGGGGTCTTCCCGGGTCCTAGCGATGGCTCATGCCGTATTCTCCTGGGCTGTGCTACACTGGACGGTGCCCCTTCCCCCGCTTCCCCACGTATCCGGGCCCTAACACCAAGCGCCTCTGAGTGTGAGATTTGGAAAAGGGGTTGTGGCAGATACAATCATGCTGGATTCAGGGCAAGCCCTCCTAAAGCTGAGAAACAGGTAGGAAAAGGCTAGGTGAAGATGGATGGGGGCAAAAGCTGGAGTTATGTAAACCACAAATTAGGAAGCCAGAGAGACAGGATGGACTCTGCCAGGGCCTCTGAAGGAAGCACAGATCTGCTTACACCTTGATTTTAGATGCCTGGCTTCCAAAACTGACAGGATAAATGATGAGTCTGTCTGTCTGTCTGTCTATCTATTGCTTTGTTTTGGTTTTTGGAGACATTTTCTCTGTAGCTTTGGAGCCTGTCTTGGAACTCGCTCTGTAGACCAGGCTGGCCTTGAACTCACTGAGATTCGTGTGCCTCTGCCTCTGAGTGCTGGGATTAAAGGTGTACGCCAGCACTGCCCGGCATAAATAATGTTTTAAGTTGTGTGTTTCTGGTAATGTCTTAGAGCATCTCTAGGAACTAATATAGCAGTTGTGAGCTTTACTTGCTGAGGTGCAGTCATCAGCTCTCCAGCCCAGTGGAAAGCAGGGAGGTTTCACAGTGAGCCAACTGAGGGCTGCAGACAAGTATGATGGAAGTTGTGACAGGCGCAGTGGCGTGGGCTGCCAGCCTCACTGAAGAGAAGGGCAAATCCAAAAACTCTGAAGATCATTCTGTGCCTGAGGACCTAGATTCCCTATCCAATCAAGTAGACCAGGGACAAAGGGAGAACGGGTGCGAAGGGCGTACTGAAGGTCCTCCCTTCTGAAAGTCTGCTAGAGTCACTCTAGGAAATGAATGGTGAGATACTGTGTGGGGGCTGGAGATGCCTCTGAGTGCTGGGATCTGGTGGCACACAACTTTAATCTCAGCACTCAAGAAGCAAGTCAGACAGGTCTCTATGAATTTAGCATCAGTCTGATCTACATAGAGTTCAAGGACAGCCAAGGCTATATATTAAGACCCTGTTCTCAAAAACATTTTTATTTTGCTTTCCATTTCTCAGGAATGACTGTTCTGTTTATTGCCTGACATTAAGTAGCCATCTTGACACCAATCCCTCCCTCCCTCCTTCCCTTCCTCTTTCCCAGAAGCCATGGTGTAATGATTTAATCTTTAGTCTTTTGCTTATTTAATTAATAATTTAGTTTTTTTTAAATGTCAAGAGAACCAGAGACTGGTGTGATGGCACACACCTTTAATCCCAGGAGGCAGAGGCAGGCAGATCTCTGAGTTCAAGTCTAGTCTGATCCTACAAAGGGAGTTCCAGGACAGCCAGGGCTACAAAGAGAGACCTGTTCTGAAAAACTAAAAGGGTAGGGGGAGGGAAGGAGGGAGGGAGAGAGGGAGGGAGAGAGGGAGGGAGAGTAGACGAACCAGAAAGGTGGGCTTTAGTTGAACAACTTACTCCCAGCTATTCCTGGAATCTGAAGGCATACAGAATTTTTTAGGCAAGATCTCCCCTTGTGAGAGGACACGGTCACCAAATGTGCTGGAGTAGAAACCTCCACTGAGAACTCTGGGCCTCCAGCACCCAGAGGGTGAACTGCTAACGGTAGATTTTTATGAGGCACAAGCCTCACAACAGTAATTTTAGGCATGCATTATTATTATTTTACTGGCATCAAAACCAAAGCTCGGCAAGGTTAAATCATATCTCTAACGATGCCAACAATGACCCAGTGGTAGAAATGGAACCCAGTGTCCGGCCATGCTCTCGGCTTCTACAAAGCACTTGGTTCTGTGACGTTTCTTGGGCCAGGGCATCTTTGCTGAAAGGCCAGCCGTACCACCTGAAGCATTTGTACTCACCCACCCTGAATTAAGGGTTCCCACATCAGAATGGGAGATTTCCACTAAAATACTATTATCGTCACACTTACCTGTTCTGTGTCACATGAGCAGTGGTGCAGAAGTCGGTGCTGGGTGGTATCATAAAATAATCTGTGCAGTTTGGTCCCAAATTCCTGTGTGTCAGCTGCCTGAAATTCACGAGACAGAGAAGGCTGAATTCACCACTGGAACCAGAGGGGGAGCTGCAGAGCCTGAGGAAGACAAGATACAACCTTCTCTGCTGTATTTACGGATTTGTCTCTACGGGTGCTCGGTATGTGGCTCCCATATGTCTTCCCACCTAAGCAAGATCTTCAACCAAGGTTTTTGTTTGCAGCAGATAGATATCCCAGAAATCCCTCTGTCTCATGTTTGTGTTGTAAAAGATTCTCCTCCCTAAAATGAGCGAGAAAGAAGTGATTCCCACTGATGCCGTGGGATTCCTCAGCGAGACTAAGAAAGAGGTAGGAAGTCTTCCTCAGATAGGCCTTCTAGAGAAAAGAGCCAGAGAATGCAGTCTGTATCTTGGGCATACGGATCAGCCTTTGCTGCTTCAGTGCTGGACTGTGGGGTGTCAGAATCAAAGAACACGAGGAATCACCTGAAACCATGCATTAATTTAAAAAAAGATTTACTTTATGTGTGTGCTTATATGTTTGTAAGTCATGTGTGCGCAGGATCCTGTAGAGGCTAGAAGAGGCGTCAAACCCCCTGGGGCTGTTGTGAGCCACCTGATGTGGGTACTTAGAACTAAACTTGGGTCCTCTGGAAAGACAGCAAGTTCTCTTATAACAGCTGAGCCATTTCTCTGGCCCCCAACACATTAATTTCATACACAAGAAACTGAAATTCAAAAAGAAGTGACCCATTCAAGATCAGGTAGGACAAAAGCCAGGGCCACTTCTTTTTACCCCATCAACTACATGCCCAAAGATGAAGTCATGACTTAAAGGCACTTGCTTATAAAGGCATCATTCTTTGTGCCAATAGTTCAAAGCACTTTATTCTACGAATAATTTTTGATAAAACAAGATATCACAGAGTGTTAACTGAGACACTATATACAGCAATAAAACTTACCAACTTAGAAGACTGGGTGATTAGATTAAGTAACAAAGTACACTATTTATTGACTAAAGCAAATTCTAACCCTGTTGAAATTGATGAAATGCCATTATATATATAAAAATATAGTTCCTTGGTTTTTACTATACGATATGAGATGTACAAAAATTAAAATTATAGTGATAGAAATTAGTACTAAAGTTTGTCTATGTGTTATATTATCTTCTAAGAAAAAAGGGGCACATGAAAATAAAGAAACAGCCAGACCTGGGAAGCAGAGGTAGATGGAGCTCCGTGAGTTCAATACCAGCCTCATCTACACAGCATTCCCAAGCAGCCAAAGACTGTCTGGAGGGGAAGCAGCAGCAACAGCTAGGGAATCTGTGATCTGCTGGCAATCCCAGTTCCTCACCCTATGACCCCAGGGGAAGAAAGGTGACTAACACAGTAAAAAAAAGTAAAAAATACTTTTTGCATAAAGTATTTTCAGTCTCAGTTTCTTCAGGCACTACTATGAATTTTCACAGACTAAGGCTTATGAGCGCTCCACATTTCTTTCTCATAGTTTTGGTTATCTGAGATCAGGGTGTGCAGCAATGATGGCTAATGTTAATTGTCACCTTGACCACATTTAGAATCACCTGGACGGAAGGCCTCTGGACAGGCCAATGATTGCTCTGATTATGTTAACTGATGTGGGAAGACCCTCTTATGTAGCGAGCTGCGTGGTGTCACACCTGATGGAGATGTATAATCAACTCCTGAGATGGCTAAGGCCTGACCTATGCTGTGATCACGCAATGATCATCAGCTGCTTGCATATGCGTGAACCTATGGGCAGTGCCCACCTGGCAATCCGGGATTGGCAGCCCGTGCCTACTTAAGGGCTGGGAGAGGTTTGCCCAGAGAGAGAGGTTTGCCCGAGGAGAGAGGTCAAAGAAAGAGGAAAGAGAGAGGAGAGAGAGAGAGGAGGGAGAGGAAGAGAGAGGAGACAGAGAGAGAGAGAGAGAGAGAGAGAGAGAGAGGAGAGAGGGAGAGAGAGAGAAAGTGAATAAAGTCCTGGAATAAACTGCAGTGAGAAGAGCTCCGGTGGTCGCGTCATTCCTTGTGGGTCGAGGTAGAGACATGACACTCTTAATTGTAGGTGGAACTGTTGGTTCCCAGGTAGATCATGAACTGATCTGAGTACTGGCATGCACACACACATTCATGGCTCTGTGTCAAAACACCATGGCTAAAGCAACTTGGGGAAGAAATAGTCTATTTTATCTTGGTAGGAACTCAAGGCAGAAACTGAAGCAGAAGCCATGGAGGAACACTTGCTTTCCATGGCTTGCTTAGCCCACTTTCTTCTGTACCCCGGGATCACCGTCCAAGGATAGCACCATTCTTACCACAGTAATCATTAGTCAAGAAAATGCCCTTCAGGCTTGCCTACAGAGCTGGTCATTTTCTCAGTTGAGGTTCCCTCCTCTCCGATGACTCAGCCTTCTGTTAAGGTGACCAAACACCAGCCGGCACACCGCTATTCTCACGACAGATGAGACTTTGGTTAAGTCTTTGTTTTAGTTTTGGCATGTGGCGCGGCCTATGTGCTGAGTTTTACAGGCTGAATGGTACTTCCACCATGGAGTCAGTTGTGCTAAGGTCAAGGGGCCCTGTTACAATCCCAGTCATGTGACCCCTCTCAGAGAACAAAACCGCCAGCTGGAAAGCACAGCCTCAAGAGCTTTGATCCCAGTACTTGGGAGGGAGAATCAGGAGGATCTCTGTGATTTCAAGGCCATCCTGGTCTACATAGTAAGTTCCAAGACACCAGGACGTTTTACATAGAAAAACCCTGTTTCAAAAAGAAAACCATTTTCTTTGTGTGTGTGCACGTGTGCATGTACAAGTGCACGCATGTACATGTACAACCACAGAGTGCACATGTGGAGGTCAGACGACAACTTCCAAGTGTAGCACAAGTTCTAATTGTTCTTATAAAAAAAACCTGGGATCAAATATTAGGGGGTGAAAGCTGAGAGATCAGAGAAGCAGAGCAGTCAGCCACTAGGGAGACCTTTTATCTCTACTGAATCCTGAGACCAAAAGGGCGAACCTGTCCTCAGACTGTGTCCTCTGCTTCAGACTGAGTCTCCAGACTGCACTGCTCTTGTCTCTTCCTGCCTTATATTCCTCTCTCCACTCAGCCTTCCTGCCTCCACCTCCCTAGTGCTGGGAATAAAGGCATGGTACTCCCAAGTACTGGGATTAAAGGTGTGTACCACCACCGCCTGGCCTCTAGTGGTTTAGCTCTGCACTCTGATCTTTAGGCAAGCTTCTTTGTTAATACACAAACAAAATAATGTAGTGACATCCAAGAGTGATTTTCTTCAACTATGTGGGCTCCAGGGATCAAACTCAGTTGTGATCAAGTTTGAAAGCAAGCGCTTTTACCTGAGATATCTTGACAGTTCCAAAAACTTGAGCTGCCAAGTGGTAGTGGCACACGCCTTTAATCCCAGTAATCAGAGAGGCAGAGGAGAAACGTCTCTGTGAGTTTGAGGCCAGCCTGATCTATAGAATGAGTTCCAGGACAGCCAAGACTACACAGAGAAATGGTGACCCCCCCCCAAAATGTATCTTGAGCTAGGTATGGTAGCCTAAGACCAGCATGTATGATATAAACATTCAGATTATAGCATGCATTTAGCCCCTAGCCCATGAGGGGCTCTTATTTTCCCCAAACTATTAAACAAGTTTCAGAGAAGTTATATATAGGCCCAACTCCACGTAGCAAGTAACAAGTCAAGAATTGACTGACCCCCAAGCTCTGATGTCAAATTACATTGCACCCTGTTCTGTTCACATACACGGCGCTGTGTCTGCATAGTTGTTTCTAGTGTATTGTGTCACCATGAGGTCGTGATGTCATCTTCAACAAGGAGCTGGGAATCAAGGGTCTAATTCTAGCTCTCTGAGCAAGTTGTGTGATATAAAAGAAGCATAACTCTTAAATAACTTTTCTCTCTCTTTTTTAAAAATATTTATTTATTTTTTAAAAAATATTTATTTATTTATTTATTATGTATACAATATTCTGTCAGTGTATATGCCCGCAGGCTAGAAGAGGGCACAGATCTCATTACAGATGTTTGTGAGCCACCATGTGGTTGCCGGGAATTGAACTCAGGACCTTTGGAAGAGCAGGCAATGCTCTTAACCTCTGAGCCATCTCTCCAGCCCCAACTTTTCTCATTTATAAAAATGGTATATATACTGCTATCCTTCAACAAATTGTTTTTTTAATTAATTATTCTTTGAGACAGGGTTTCTCTGTGTAGCCTTTGCTGTCCTAGAACTGGTTCTCTAGACCACTTGAACTCAGACCCACCTGCCTCTGCCTCCTGAGTGCTGGAATCAAAGGCGTGCACCACCACTGCCTGCTGGGAGAGCACCTCCTAACTGCGGAGCCATCTCTCCAACCCCAACAAATACTTCTTCTTTTTTTTTTTTTTTTTGTTTTGTTTCGTTTTGTTTTTTCGAGACAGGGTTTTTCTGTGGCTTTGGAGCCTGTCCTGGAACTAGCTCTGTAGACCAGGCTGGTCTCAAACTCACAGAGATCCGCCTGCCTCTGCCTCCCAAGTGCTGGGATTAAAGGCGTGCGCCACCATCGCCCGGCCTCAACAAATACTTCTGAAAACACTCAAAGCTGGCACTAAGTAGAGTAACCTGAAGGTGTTTCCCCCAGCACTGTGTGGGTTGTAGGGATGCTGCAGTGTCACTCAGCGTGGCCACTCCCCCACCCCCATCTGCTAATGCTAACCTCAAGAGCCCGGAGGCATGTGTTCCTGAAGCTGCTGCAGGTGCTTCCAGTCAGCACACTCGTGATGGCATTCACAGCCACAGAGAGGGAGCCCTGCAGTCTCTGATGAGCCTGGAGTAAGGAGGAAACCATATTAGTCCCAAAGCACTGGCTCTAGAATGCCAAAGGGGAAAGGCTCCAGGCAAGGCAGAACAGCAACAGTTCCACCAACAACACTCAATAAGATGATGGTGCTGTTTCCTTAAAGCATTCTCTTCTTCCAGAGATGGCGTAATGATGTAACATACTAAGAAAAGACAGTAAGACACTGGGTAGGGATGGGAATGGGGCTCAGTTGATGGAATGCTGGCCAAGCATGTACGAGACCCTGAACCAGCACAGAATAAACCAGGTATTTTAATAAAACAGGTCTGGAAGTACCTGTAATCCCTGACCAGGAAGTGGAGGCAGGAGGAGCAGAAAGAAGGTCAAGGTCACACTTTCCAGTAAGAGTTTGAGTTAGCCTAGGCTGTGTCAGTCCTTGTTTCTCAAACAAACAGAACAGTAAAACATATTTGGCACTAGAGACATGGCTCAGCAGTTATGAGCAAATACTGCTATTGCAGAGTTTGGTTCCCAGCACCCATGTCAGACAGCTCACAGCCACCTAGCTTCAGTGCCCTCCATCCACACACACAAGCACATAATAAAAATATTTTATTGTTGGATGTTTGTTTCTATGTACTATGACAGGGCCTCACTGGCTAGGAACTCACTTTATGTACCAGATTGTCCTTGACTTCTGAGATTCACTTGTCTCCACCTCCTGAGATCTGGGATTAAAGGTGTTTGCACACCCAGCTTTTATTTATTTTATGTGTTTGAGTGTTTCTGCATGAAGATTTTTGTATCATGTGTGTGCCTGGTGCCAGCAGAGGGCAGAAGAGGGCAACAGATGCCCTGGAACTGGAGTTACAGAGACAGTTGTTGCTGCCTTGTGGGTGCTGGGAATGAAACCAGGTCCTCTGGAAGAACAGCCATGCTCTTAACTGCGGAGCCATCTCTCCAGCTCTAAAAACAAATCTTTTTTAAAAAGCAAACAAAATAAAACAAATATTTAATTTTTTGTTTTAAATGCATTATTGTTTGAGTGCATGATGTATGGGTCTGCACATGTCACAGTGCATGCGTGGGGGTCGCCGAGTTGGTTCTCTCACGCCACCTTTATATGAGTCCCTGCAATCAAATCCAGTTGGTCAGGTTGTGTGGCAAGTGCTTTGACAGCTGAGCGTTTCTCGGCCCCTAACTCTGTGGCAGGGTCTCATACTATAGCCTAGGCTGCCCATAACTCATTCTATAACTCAGCCTGGCCTTACACTTCAGTCATCCTGCCTCAACCTTCCAAGTGCTGTGGTCACATAAGGAAACGACCAGACCCAGCTCTAATGTTGTTTTATTGTTTTTAGTTTTAAGCTTTGCTCTTCAGTTGACAGTTTTTTTTCTACAAGGAAGTTGGAAATGTATTACTAAAAGCACACAGATTGGAAGAATTCAGTCTGGGCAGAAGCAGTGTGACATTATGAAAGAACAGGGAAAATGAGGGAAGAGGTAAGGTTTATTGAAATAACAGCTCCAGAGAATTTGTGGGATCAAGATGCACAGATAAGAAGAGGTATGGCTGGACCATGGTGGTGTATGCTGATAATCCTAGCACTTGGGAGGCAGACCTCTGACTTTGAGGCCAGCCCAGTCTACAGAGTAAGTTCTAAGACAGCCAGGACTACATGGAGAAACCCTGTCTTGGAAGAAAAAAAAAAAAAGAGGTCTGGCAGCCATGCTATTCTGTTGTTTTGTTGCTGTTACCTCTGCAGCTGCTCCAGCACAAACTGGCTGCGTGGCCTAAGTGAAAGCTTGAGTCCCTGTCCAATTGCAGCACTGGGACCTCACCAAGGTGGCAGAATGGAGGGCACATCGAGGGAGCCTGTGAACTCCCAGGTTGTAATTTATTACCTGGGCAGCCTGGTGATACCGCTCCAAGACCTGGTCCACAGCTGACTGGATGGACTCCTGCACGGTGCTGCGGCTCTCTGAGAGGATGGCACTGAGATGAGCTGTGAGCAAAGTGTGGAGTCCTAAGAGGATGGATGACAATGGTGGGAGCCATGAGTGAGGACGCACTTTCAGGACTTCTGTGCATGTGCCCTGTGTCGGGGCTGGGGCTGGGGCTGGGGCTGGGGCTGGGGTAGTGCTCCCGAAGAAGCTACTTCCACTTCTCCACCCCGATTTTTAGAGAAAGCCCCTCTGAAGTCCCACTGGCAAATGAAAGCAAGCTTAGGAAAATTAAATGAGTCACATTGTTTTTGAAAAAAATAAATGCTTAATCCATGCTACGAACAATGATAGTGGTACCTTCCGAAGGAAAAGGAAGCCTCTTAGGAGTGTCTAACCTCTTCCATTCCTACTTGAGCGTCACTGTTAAGTGAGCCTCCAGTTGTCTGCAGGGTGTCATTTCTTTCCAATGTTCTGTGCTAAAGGAAAGGCTAAAACTTACAGAAATTACCCTGGGAATTGTGAATGTCAGACCGTTTAAGATGGGGTGAGATGTTTAAGATGTTGCTCGGTTGGTAGAGTGCTTGCCTAGCATGTAAATAGCCCTAGGTTTGATTTCCACACACTTCTAATCCAGCACTTGGGAGATGGAGGCAGGAGGATAAGGAGTTCCAGGGCATCCTCAGATATACAGTGAGTTTGAGGCTGCCTGGGGACATACAAGTTCCTGTCTCAAACTAATTAAAATATGCAAAATGGGGGTGATCTCAGATGAAGTAACCTCTGCTTAGCATCACTCAGAAACTGCCATGTGGGGCTGGAGAGGTGGCTCAGCAGGTGAGGGCACTTGCTCTTGCAGAGACCAGGTTTGATTCCCATCACCTACATGGTGACTCACAACTGTCTGTAACTCTAGTTCCAGGGGACTTGATCTGAGGATGCTAAGCATCCAGGTGGCAGATATACATACACCTAGGTGAAGAATTCACGCATAGATATCACACACGCACATTTTTAAAAGGTAAGAGTTGGAACACTTCTTTTCATGGAACATCCCAATGCTCTCCAGAGAGAGAAATTATATATGGACTTAAAAGGAATCTGGAACTAGAAGTAAGAGAGCATAGATTTGAGGTTATTTTTTTATTTTTATCACCAGCTAGTGATGAGGTAACTTCACTCTTCTCACTTCAGTGCAGAAAATATTTTTCTTATGTGTTCTCTCAGATATGTTGTCTAGATAAACTGGGATCATGTAAAATGAAGTATTCTGAAACACACACGCAATGTTCAAAGGGGAGTACTGCTGTTGCCATGGTGATGGAGCATGCAGATTCTATTTTATATACTCTGGACCCAAGAAGAACCCAAGAAATGAGAAGTTTTTGAAGGCAGACATTTAATTAAAAACAAAACAAAACAAAATTATTCCTAAAACTGCTCCTACCACCAGATGCTTTTGGCACTGTGGCAAAATAAGGAGTTAATCATAGAAGTTACCATGACAAGGTGGGCGGGAGGCCAGCCGACTGGTTTTTTTTTAAAGACACACGAACACAGACTAATTCTGCACAATCTGTTTCCTAGCACACAGAGCTCTGGAGAAGGAAGGATGGGGAAAGACAGGGCAAACTTAGCCTTGCTGTCCCTCGTTGTATCTCCTTCAGAGGCCTAAACAAGGAGGGTTTTGTTTTGGTTACTTTGAAGGAGTTTTAAAAAAAAATTATTACTTTTTAAAATTCAAAACTTCATGTTTATCTGTATATATGCATGCATGTATGTATACATACATGCCTCCAGGTGTCCACAGAGGTCAGACGAGGGTGTTAAACCCCTTCCTGGAACTTGAGACACAGGCAGTTGTAAGACACTGTACATAGGTGCTGGGAACCAGACTCTGGTCCTCTGCAAGAGCAGTGATTGCTCTTAACCACAGATCTATCTCTTCAGACCTGGCAGTGATTTTTGTTTTGAGACAGGATCTCACTATTCAGTTCAGGCTAGCCTGGAACTGACTGTGTAGACAGGATGCCTTCAAACTCACAGTGATCTACCGCCTGATTTAAAAACATATGTCACGCGGTGAGTGGTGGTGTTGCACACCTTTAGTTCCAACATTGGGAGGTGGGGGGGAGCAGAGACAGGCGGATCTCTGAGTTTGAGGCCAGTCTGGTCCTACAGAGTCAGTTCCAGGGTTACAGACAGAACCCCTTTCTCAAAAATAAATAGATATATAGATAGATGAATAAATAAAAATTAAAAAAGCATGTGCCACCACACCTGGATTTTTATTTATTTTATTATTGTTTTTTTAGCAGTGAATATTTAAGTGGGTTTTTTTTTGTTGTTGTTGTTCTTGTTATTTTGAGACAGGGTTTCTCTGTGTAGCCCTGGCTGTCCTGGAACTAGCTCTGTAGACCAAGCCTTGAACTCACAGAGATCCACCTGCCTCTGCCTCCTGGTGCTGGAATTAAAGGCATGTGCTACCACTTCCCAGCAGCAGCGAATTTTTAAATCTACAACTGAGTATAGTTACTGAGAATCTGCAGGCCTGTGGAGACATGCTGACCAGAGGCATATAGATTGTTCTGGTACATTACAAACTGTTTTTAGGGCACCTGAGTTCTTTGGATATGTTAAATAGGACTTAGAACATGGTGTCAGACTCAAACTATCCTCTGGCAAGCATTTTAAAAATGCCAGGAAGTAACAGATCTTAGGTCTCAGGTGGGCATTGAGCCTCTGAAGGGCCTTTGATATTACCTAGTTTAACAGTTCGTGTTAGAGATTGGGAAGGGAGGCTCAGATGGTTTCTGTGACTTGATTTTTAAACATCACGAGGGAAGCTGGAATCAGCACAAAGGAAAGCTGTTTGACTTCTACCCCAAGTCCTTTCCACGGCTCCGCTTCTCAGTTTGTCTGTGGGTACATGCCCCAGGTATGAGGTAAGAGGCAGTGGCTGGCACTTTGCTTTTCTGCTCTTCAGCTTGGACCCTACTATCTGTCTCTGGGTTTTTATTATTCATGATACATTGAGTCTCTTTTCTTTCTCATTCTCTTGGCCTTAATCAATGAAGCAGGGGCACCAAAGAACATTGGCTTCTGAGTTGACAGTTTGATCCCAGGAAAGCAGTACTTCCTCCTCTGGGTATGCACACACCAGGAAGGGAAATAGAGGTTTGGAAGGTAAGCAGGTAACAGGAAGAATTAATCTCATATTTGACAGCCATGAAATCTGGCACCAGTCACTGAGAGCTTCCGATCTGGGTTATAGGCAGTCTTGTTTCACCTGTGGTGCAGGGAGAACCAACACTATACTATGAAGAACACAATGAAGGTAGAGCCTCCATAGCTCATGGAGAAAGGAACACCCAAAAGGAGGCTAATAGATTTTTCCTGAAGCAAGTCTAGGTGCCATTTCTTGTAACTTTCCTTGATGTGGGATTCCCTTCTGTATGCTGGTGAATGTTTTATTCTATTGGTTAATAAAGAAGCTGCATTGGCCTACCAGCAAGGCAGGAATTCCAAGTAGATAGAGGAGAAAAGAAGATAGAGTCAGGGAGATGCCATGTAGCTGCTGCAGGAGACAGATGCTGGATGCCAGATTGAACCTTACTGGTAGGCTACAACTACGTGATGATACACAGATTATTAGAAATGGGTTAATTTAAGATGTAAGAGCTAGCTAGAAATGCCCTTAAGCTATTGGTCAAGCAGAGTTGTAATTAATACAGTTTTATGTGTGATTATTTGGGTCTGGGTGGCTGGGAAACAAACAGGCAGCCTCTGCCATCAGAACAGCACCCAACATGGGGCCGACTACATCCACATAAAACCAGAGAGCTTAGGAAGGAATTCTAGGCACAAAAAAACAGAGTTAAGTACAATTTCTTGGTAGCTGCATTTTGTTTTTCAGATAGGTTCTGTTTGCTGGTGATGAGGATGGGTCAACATTTCCTCAGTTCAGGAATGTGTTATCAACTTTTAAAACTTACTTCCTAGGGTTCATTGAATTAAAGCATGTGATTAAAACACTCAAAAGGCTTCCAAATTTTATTACATCTGAGGATCACTTGAGAATCAAGTGACAGAAATGTATATTTCAATCATTCTAGATTTCTACAATATATAGCAAAAATAATAAATTAACTTGACCCAGGAAGTTGTACATCTTCAAATAGCCTAGGTGATTCAGGTATTTATGTTTTGTGTTCCACAAGCTAAAGCCACCATGTTACCCAGCAGGAGGAGAACCTTTCTCATAACAGGTTACTCTGCACCTGATGGACACATACCAAAGCACTCCTAACTGCACTTGCACGGAGACAGGCTTCTTCCCTTGATTTCATCTAGAAAGGCAGTGATAATTCTTTACATATTACACAACTATCTAATTTAGACAGATATATGCATTATTCATATAGTCCTTTCTTTATCCACTTAGCACTTGGCACACCCAACCTGGCTGCTGTATTTTCCCAAACATACCCCAGACTTCTGCTTGCTGGACTGGGAATCCACTGTGGCAATCTACAAATAGGAAAAGTAGCAGAGCTGGTCCCGCTGAGTCCACATCCTGAGACTGATTCCTCTCACTGGGCTCCACTTGATAACTCACATCGGGAATCACCAAATCTAAAGAAAAAGATAACAGGAGAATTTATAAGGTAAACAAGCCCCTTATACCCTGAGTGACACAGAACCATATTGTGACTGAGAAGGAACTACTAGGTCTACATTCAAATAGTCAGTTCCACTCCCGAATCTGCTCCTCTACCCACATTATGGAAACAAAATAATAATGACTTACATGAAGAACATTAAAATAGCCAGGTATGTAAAGTACAAAGGAAATAGCAGCCTTGTGCATTTACTATGGAAGCATTACACAAAAAATTCATTTATTTCTTGTGTAACATTTTTTTTCCTTTTGAGAAAGGCTCTCACTATGTACTGCTGTTGGGCCTGAAACTTGATATGTAAACCAGGCTTGTTGGGGGCTGTGGACTCCCAGACCCTGAATTTCCTGTAAACAACTTGTTATGCTTGCAGCTGCTCTGATCAAAACAACTTATTTTCCTGTGTTTGTATCTGCTCTGAGCACAAGACCCTAAGGAGTTCCTGATGGAAGGGAAGTGGTTTCTGGTGGGTTTGGCCGGGGCGTGGCTATCAGTTAAGGATCCCTATATAAGCTGCCCTGGAACACAATAAAGGGGGCATTCTTGGAGACTTCAAGGATGACCCATTTCTCTGTCTCTGTGTATGTGTGTGTCAATCTCCAGGCCCTTGCCTGGCTCGCGAACCATCCTGTAGTGCAGGCGGTACGCTACAGGTGTAGTACTGTAGTACAGGTACTACAGGACCATGCATGATACTCGTAGTAGCTCGGATACTACACAGGCTGGTTTTGAACTCAGACAATTCACCTACTTTGCTTCCAATGTGCTGAGATTAAAGGCCACACCTGGACATCTTGTGGACCTTCCTTAAATAAGTTATTTAACAAGCATCCCCTATAAATGGAGTTACAGACAGTTTTGCGGTGCCATGTGGGTGCTGGGAATCGAACCTGGGCCATCTGGAAGAACAGGCAGTGCTCTTAACCACTGAGCCATCTCTCTAGCCCAAATATTTTTTTAATATTTATTTTATGTGTCAGTGTTCTGCTTGTATTTGCATATGTATACCACATGTGTACAGTGCCTATGGAGATGAGAAGAGGCTGTCAGATCCTCTGGAACGGGAGTAACGGGTGCTACCGTGTGAGTGCTGAGGACTGAACCCAGGTCCTCTGCAAGAGCAGCAAATACTCTTCACCACGAGCCATCTCTCAAGCCCCTTCCTGTGAACCTTCTAAGGTAGGTCTGGCTACAAAGAGGCAGAGGTCAAATTTCAACTTGAGTAATAATGTTCCAGGTAACGTACTATAAGCCAGGTGCCATGCTAAATTCCTTGAATGTCCTTTCTCAAGATTTAGACTTCATAACGCTCTTGAGGAAGACCTATTGTTACAACATTTTACAAGTAAGAAAAGAGGCACAGTCTGGTAAAATGCCTTGTCCAGTATGAGCTTGTGAATGGTAGAACTGAGTTGTCCACCTTGACAGATCAACTTCAAATCTGTGTTCTTAATGCTAGATGCACCCTTTAAAATTCCATAACGGTAGTTCCACACCCATATCCACAAGGAAGGGTATCTCCCTGTGGATCCTAGTTCTGTCCTGTAAGAACTAAAGGACAGAGCATGGTGTGGCAGCATGCTCCTATAATCTTAGTACTTGGGAAACCAAATACTAGTACAAGGAGGATTACAGCAAGCTGATTACAGCAAGCCTATGTCACACAGTTTGACAGTGTGTGACTCTGTCTCAAAAGGTAAAGAAGAAAATGAATGTGAGAAATGAGGGTGTTTTCCTGTATTATTCATTTACAAAGTTAACTGACCAAGGTTGACACCGTAAACTGTAGAAACAATGGAAACCAATAAAGTCTAAGAATAAAAATGAAAGTGGCAGAGATAACGAAGGCTAGGGCTCTGGCTCAATTGGCAGAGTGCTGCCTAGCATACATGAAACTCTGGGTTCAATCAAGTATAGGCTACAATGAGATCAAATCTCAATTGTTTTTGTAAAATAAGATCCCAGAAATCCAGTTAGGCCTTCCTTCCAGTCAAGACCCATGACATCCCACCTGTTAAGACTGCAAATCATTTCCTCTCAAAATGCTTACTCCAGAGACTGTCCTAGGATGCTTCCTCTCATACCATCTTCTAGATAACTGTCCTCTCAAGAACAAAGACCCTTCTGTGGAGGCTGATGTCTTAGATACCTTCAAGATGCTGCCTTATCCTAAGATGCAGCAATCTTTTCATGCTAGTGAAAATCCTAGAACATCCTTTTCTCTGCTGACCATCAAATAGACAAGCTCAGAACCATAAACCTTCAAGACTGTCGTCATGGTTGCAGCCCTACTCCCCAATTGTATTTATTGATCCAGTCACTAACCATTCAATTTAATAAGTATGCTAATCGATTATATGTGTATGTGTTTGCATATCCATGTGCCATGGTGCATGTGTGGAAGTCAGAGGACAACATGCAAGCTAGAGCTCCCCTTCTACCTGTGGTCCCAGGGAGAAAACTCAGGCCGTCAGGGCTTGGATCAGGTACCTTTACCTACTGAGCCATCTCACTGGTGCCAACCTTTCAACGTTTAGTACAACTCACCCCAAATTAACATGGTTAGACCCTATTTGAGCACCATGGCCAGATTTCTATGGTTACCGCTCTTGCAGCTGGCATTTGTGTTGCATTTAATTTCTTCAAGTAGTTTTCTGTGTCCTAACACTCATTTCAGTAAGAATCATCTCTCTTCCACGTGCAGAAGGGTTGTTGTTCCCTCATCCACTGTTCTGAAGCTCCCAAACTGACAAATGAGTATGACCGAAGCCTTCCAAGAAAGGCCCTGGGAAAAGCACGAGACAGGGAGGCACTAGTGGAAGTGAGAGAAAAGTGTCAGCCTCTGCCAAAGCAGGCCCTCACTGAGTTTGTGTGGGACACTTAGAACTCTGCCTTGTTCTAAGTGGACTCTCCCATCCTCTTGTTAAACCAGCGTATTATTATTAGGTCCTATTTTCACAGACATTTGCTTATATATTCATTTCTCTAATTCTTTGTGTTTCTAAATTTTAGTACAAAATATAGACACATACCTGTATCCAAATTGATATCCAAAGTGGGCACCATAAACAAATTGTGTTTCTTCCAGTCAATGAAATAGGAGGTATCTCTGAAGACAGTGATACTTGGCTGCTCCTGATCTGATATCAGAGGCAGACCCAAAGGCCCATATAGAAATATGTATAGCAGCTAAAGAAAACTGTCAAACTTTTCTTACAACTACATACTCATATAAAACAAACTTACATACTGGCCTGGTTCACACCACAGGAATATGCACATATGCTATCAATTACATGTTTGTCTTTTTCCAAATTACAGACGGGTATCATGCATGGGAGCTCTACCAGGATCCTCAGATTTTTGCAGGGGGTAACTGAATGACAATTTTTTGATTCATCTTATTCATCTGATCATAAATGTGAGTGGCATCACAAGCTAAACACAATGCTAGGTTCTAGAGGTATGGAGATGAGTAACTAATATCTGTACTCAAGTTTTCCATATTTTAGTGTAGTACACACAAAAAACCTAGTAAATTGCAATACAAGGTAGTACATACTTGTATAGAACTGCATACAAAGGAGTGTTTTCTAGAAAGTAATTGAGTGTATTTGGATTGAGAGAAACTTCACGCTTTATACAACCCTATTCTTTTTTTCTGCTCTGGGTAGCTTTAGAGCCTGTCTTGGTACTCACTCTGTACCCCAGGCTGGCCTCAAACTCACAGAGATTCATCTGCCTCTGCTCCCAAGTGCTGGGATTAAAGGCGTAGACCACCACTGCTGGCCCAACCCTATTCTTCAACCAAGACAAAGGCCTTGAAATAGTCTCTCCCTTCTGGACTCTTGCTTTCTTAGGCTCCTGCCCTGGATGTGGTTTCTTGATATGTATCAGCACTTGACGTTCCTTGGTGGGCAAGGGGATGTCTATATGCTACAGAATGAAATGTTTTAGAAAGACAGAACAAAGGGAGAATGAACTCTCAAAGCCTCTCTCACAGATCTCAGCAGGCATTAGCATAGGAACTAAGGCCACTACACTCACTGCTCAGGGTCAGAAGATCTTTAAATTACTTCACATACAATGTGAAGAATAAAAAATAGAGTGTCTGGAATCCAAGTATATGGTTGCCTTATGATTTGATATTTTTTCTGCATAGCCCTGGCTGTCGTGGGATTCACTCTGTAGACTAGGCTGGCCTTGAACTCAGAGATCCACCTGCTTTTGCCTTCTGAGTGCTGGGATTAAGCTATGTGCCATCACCACCCAGCTAGTGTTTTATTTTTAAAAATCATTTTTATTTTATTTGTGTGGGTGTTTTGTCTGCATGTATAGCTGTGTGGCACATGCGTGCAGTGCCTGTAAAGGCCAGAAGAGGGCATTGGTTCCCCTGGAACTGGAGTTACACACAGTTGTGAACTGCTATGTGGGAGCTGGAAATTGAACCCAGTTCCTCTGGAAGAGCTGCTAGTTCTTAACCACTAAGCCATCTCTTCAGCCTCATCCTTGTTTGAGACAGGGTTTCATGTACCCTAGCCTGGCCTCAAACTGTGTAGCCAAGGATGACCTTGAACTTTTGATCCTGTATTCAATACCTGAGCACTGAGATTACAGGTGTATTCCGCTATAGCCAGTTTATATGGTACTGGAGTCCACATGAAAGGCTTTGAGCATTCTAGTCAAGCAGTCTACCGACTGAACTGTATTACCAGCCCTTAACTGGACACTCCAAACCGTTCACATCTAATATGAATACAGCCATGGTTGGACTTAATCTCTCCACTCGTTATATGGTTTCCGTTTGTTCTCTTTACTATTTTTGGATTCTATTTTGGATTCAGTATTCTATCTCTGCTTTGACATATTAGTCATGACTCACTGGTTCAGCCTTTAAAATTTTATCAGGATTCAACAGTTGACAAATATAGAAGAATCTAATAATACACTTGCATTTCTTCCTGATTGGCCCATGTTATTGTTGTCAAGTAAGATTTGGAGGTAGATCAAGATATTCATGCATGAAACTGTCAAAGAATACTATTTTATTTTTGAGACAGGGTTTCTCTCTGTAGTGCATGCTATCCTGGAACTCACTCTGTAGACCAGGCTGTCCTGGAACTCACACAGATCTGCCTGCCTCTGCTTCCTGAGTGCTGGGATCAAAGGTGTGCATGTCACCACTACATGGCTAAAGAATACAAACTTTGCCTGGAAGTGGTGGCACACGCCTTTAATTTCAGCACTTGGGAGGCAGAGGCAGGTAGATCTGTGTGAGTTCCAGGCCAGCCTAGTCTACAGAGTGAGTTTCAGGACAGGCTTAAAAAAAAAATACAAGCTGGGCGGTGGTGGCGCATGCCTTTAATCCCAGCACTCGGGAGGCAGAGGCAGGCGGATCTCTGTGAGTTCGAGGCCAGCCAGCCTGGTCTACAAGAGCTAGTTCCAGGACAGGAACCAAAAGCTACGGAGAAACTCTGTCTCGAAAATCCAAAAAAAAAAAAAAACACCAAAATTTAAAGGATTTCCTTAAGCATTTTCTAATACTGCTTGCGAGTGAATTCCTGACTCTTCTGAATGTCTGAGAAAGTCTCAATCTTGAATCCATTGCATTTGTTTGGCGGTGGGGATTCTTGCAGGGAGGGTCTCACTCTGTATCCCAGGCATTTTCCAGCTCCAGGATCCCATGTTCTGGGATTACAGGAATGAACCATCAAGACCAGCCCTTGTCTTCATTTTGTGTGTGCATGAGGACAACCTTGGCTACCATCTTCAGATACCATCTACCCTGTTTTGAGACAGTGTCTGGCTGGCCTCAAATTTGTCAGTGAGACTGAACAGCCAGTGAGCCCTAAGGATCCACCCATTATTCAGGAAAAAATTTCTGAACTCCAATCTGATGCCATAAAATGTGAATTTTTTCTGCTTAGCCAGATGGGGACAGAAACTGTCCTGGCTTTGTGTGGGCCAGCGCTGGCCTGTCTGCAGCTCTGTACTGTGCATTTCTCTTCAGTTTTCTTGTAAGTTCTAGCTGCCTGACTCTCAGATCATCTCAGCTCAGATCCACCAGACTCTAGATGAGTGTCCCTGCCTGCTCTGCAGCCTGGAGATTTTCTCTGGCAGTCTGGCAAGGCAATCTAAGTTTTCTCTTTAGAACACTGTCCTGCGCATGTTATATAACAGCACTGATATTTGCCTTGAAAAAAAATGGTCATCTACTTTGTGTTGAACAATTTTAATCCATAATTTTGGGGGTTTTCTAGGGCCACTGTAGAGGTCACACTGGAATTAAAATAATGGTAATAAAGAGGGGACAGCATTTACTTCTATCATGAATATTAGTGGATAGAAAAACAGAAAGCAAAGCCTAGGTCTTTCTGCATTTCAGCTGCCTGTCGACAGAAAGTGTCCTTTGTCTTCCAGAGATGTTTCAGTTTCATGAGGTCCTATTTATTAACTGTCGACCTTAGTGCCTGTACTGTTGGTGTTCCATTCAGGAAGTTATCTCCAGTGCCAATGTGTTCAAGATTATTCCTCCCTTTCTCTTCTAACAGGTTCAGTGTATCTGGATTTATGTTGAGGTCTTTGATCCATTTGGACTTGAGTTTTGTGTAGGGTGATAGATATGGATCACTTTGCACTCTCCTACATGCTGACATCCAGTTAGATCAGCACCATTGTTGAAAATGCTTTCTTTTTCTATTGGATAATTTTGGCACCTTTGTCAAAAATTAGGGATCCATAAGTGTGTGGATTTGTGTCTGGCTCTTCGGTGAAGTGAGAGACAGGGGACTGAGTATGAAGCACAATGGGAGATTGATGGGGCAGAAGGAGGTGGGCAAAGACCCACAATAGTCAAAAATATTTACCTGCTTTGTGAACAACATTAAACACCCTATGGTTTACAATGATAAGTTAAAATATTATTACTAATCAGGTCTGGCAGTGGTGGTGCGTGTCTTTAACCCCCGCACTTGGAAAGAAGAGGCAGGTGGAGCTCTGTGAGTTGGAAACCAGAATGATCTACAGAGGAAGTTCCAGGACAGTCAGGACTACATAGAGAAACCTTGTCTCAATATAGATAGATAGATGGATAGATAGATAGATAGATAGATAGATAGATGAGAGATAGATAGGTAGGTAGGTAGGTAGATAGATAGATAGTTGAGCCAACCCACTTGTCTAGTCACTGAAAACATGTAATGTCTAATGGTCCCAGTTTGTGCACATGGAAGGTAACCTGGGGAGCTATACACCACCATAAAATTGAAGTCCTTCATGCCTGCACAACACACACATTTATTTTGTATGGTACTGCAACATGATGTGGTCATCTACAAAATTCCTACTGTTACAAAAACAAAAACTTAAAACTCATGATGCTTTAATTAAGTTTACAACTTTGTGCTGAGCCACATTCATAGCTATCCTGGACACATGACATCACAGCCACAGGTTGTACATCCCTGTGTGAGGAGCTTCTCATGGACTATAGTTCTCCACCACAGCAGGAGAAAATCAATCCACAAGATGCTCTCATTTTTACTTTAAAGCTGAGGAAGCAGAGTTAGGTTGTTGTAAATCAGCTGCTCAGCTACTTCTGTCACACAGCATTTACACCCCTGTAAATGCTCAAAAAGGCACATAGAACATTCACTCGTGGGATAAACCAGGGGTAGTGGCTCACATCTATAATCCTAGCACTTGGGAGATGGAGGCAAAGAACCAAGAACATCTAACAGTAAGTTTGAATTTAGTCTGGAATATAAAAACAAACCAACAAAACCACTCCTTACCCCAGGCTCTCCCAACTTCAGTCATGAATACTGGTTTTCTTATGTGAAGTTCTTCAGGTATTAACTTTTGCCTAAACACATAGTTTTAACTCAGGACTTATTAGCTCTTACTCCACTTCACTCACTTATTTAGGAAACACTACCTTTTCTCCTAGAGCACTCAACATGCTGTGTGAGTTCCTCTTGTCAATCATAGAAATGCAGATCACATTCCTTAGTAAGGCAGGCAGGATCTACCATCCTCCACTCCAGCCATCTTCTGGTCTCATCTCTACCTCTCACTATCTGTTGTAGTCTCAAGCCTAACATTCACACTGAGTTAGACTTTTATACAAATCATTTACAGATAAATAATTCAGGGTTACAGATAAATAATTCATATATTAAGACTTGCCTAAAATTAGAATTAAAAAATTCATCTTCAAAGGAAATTGGATAGAACCTGTCAAAAGGATATGGAAACTGAAGAAATCCTATCCCGTTGGCTGGAGAAGACCTTGGGGCTTGGGCACAGAGCAGCAGCTGGAGTCAGCGCCAGTTTTCCCAGCAAGCCCATGTCAGACATGCCATCAGGGATGGACAGTAGAGCTGGATGTCCTAGCACAGGGTGGATTCTGCTGCAGTGTGATTCAGTTGAATTCAGTTTTGGCTTACTATTAAAAAACATACAAGACAAATTTGACTTTTTTCTTCAAGACATTATTTAATGGGCATTTAAAATTCCTTAACTGCTCAGGATACACATAGCCCTATGACCTGCCATGTCATCTTATCTGCATAAGATCAGAAAAATTAGCATTGCAAAGACTATTATCATGGCTCCTGTTTATGTTGTCTCTCATGATAGTTGCTTATTCTCAAATTGTATTTTCTCCAATACAATTATACTCTACAGTTCCAAGCATATGTTTCCAAACATTCAAAGGCCAGCCTTGTGTGTGACGACTGTGAGCAAATGGTCTAAAACTGACCCCGTGACACCTGAGAGTCTACTTCTGTGCACACTATACTTTCCTCTGCTAGGCCTGAGGTCACTGTTAAGTCAGAACAATGAGAAAAATTAAACTCTCATCCTCTCCAACAAAGGAGGCAGTGGATTTGTTTTCCCCCACAGTTCTCTTCTAAACAAAAGAAATACAAGCAAAGAAGAGAAAAGAGGAGGGGAATTGCAGGAGAGGAGGAGAGAGAAGAAAGGAAAAGGCATGGAGATCATTTCTAGCTTCTACCTCACATAATGCTGAAAGCCCACAACAAGAGTGATGCCATTGGACAGTCTCAAAATAGGCTCGTTCTCTGCCCTGCAAAACAAAACAAAGAAAAAAGTCATCTTTCAAATTAGTCTCTAGTTGGCTCATGACACTACCACCCAGAGATCGCTGGGATTCAGCAACCAAAAACCAAAAGGAAAGCCATAACTTTTATGCTCATTCCCCCAGTGAAAGGGAGAAACATGTAAGGAACGAACATACTTATTTGCTAAAAACTAATATGTGAGGGTCTCAGGATTAGTTTCAAGGAGATTTTGGACTAAGAAATCAAACTGTAAACCTGCTAGAAGCACAGGGCAATCATGCTTAAAAGTCATTCAGAGCCATAAAATCGTTTACAGACCCAAAGATCTCTGCAGAGAGGATCTCATTCACCGTCAAACTGAAATTAAACTTGAGCTGCAAAACAATAAACGAAGGGTAAGATTTCATTCTAGTCGAGGTTGAGATTAAAAAATGTCCACACAGAGAGCAGTAGAAACTACCAGAGAAGTGTTGCTGCTCACACCCCCAACCTGCAAGACCAGAAGAGGCCTCAGTGGAGTGCAGGGATCTCAGGGAACCACCAGAAAAGGATTTAAAACCTCCCCGCCTGTACAGACCAGACCCCCTGCTAACACTGAGGCTCAGAAACCAATCCCCCTCACCCCGGCCCCCACAGCACCACACAGAACCTGCTGGAGTCAGAGGACTTATGAGTGCTTCCTTTTCAACTCAGCAAAGCTGTGCAAGTAATTTGCTCCACAAAGACTCTTACTTCTTACTGCTGTTTCTTACTCTTGCATGTATATCTTGGGACTGTTTTAAATGCTTTTGTTTGTATTGTTCAGTTTGGTTTTAGGATTGTTTATGCTTCTCACCCAGCTTGCTCCAGGACATACCTTACTGTGCACCTGCATCTCTTATGCTCCCTCCACCCCCATCCCATTTCTCTTCCTTTTCCTCTCATCCTCACCCTTTTCCTTGTACATCTTAACTGTAATCTTCCAGATATAAAAATTCCAACTTCCCCCTCCCAGCTACTTTACCTACATCAGTTATTTTCAAAATCTCATCCTTACTTCTTATCCTTATCCACCCTCCTTCTCTCCCACTTCTAATCTTTTGCAAATCGATTTTAAAATTTTTTAATTATATGTATATATTCATTTTGGTGCGGTGCCACCAAAGGCCAGAGAGGGTGTCAGATCCCCTGGAGCTAGAGTTACAAATAGTTATGAGCCACCTGATATGAGCGCTAGGAACTGAACTCAGGTCCTCTTGCAAAAGCACATACTGCTCTTCGTTTTACAGAACATCAGAAGTGGGAAGAAAGACAATGTGTACTTAACCACGGAACCATCTCTCTTGCTCCCAACTCACCATCTTACTAAAATCTGAGTAGGTTTCCATACCATTCTTGGTTGTTTATCTCTAGCAATTATGAAGTAAGGGAATGCTGTTGTTAATTGGCTAGAATGGCATTTGCATAGCAATATAAAACAGCTGAGTTGTGGCTGCTCTTCTAGTTAAAATCCTAAGAATACAGAACTTACGCCAGGTACCCCTGAGCTCCTGGACTGAGGATTATTCTCTGAAGTAGATATTGAACTCTATCACATCAGAGTCCTACTTGAAAATTGTGAACACTTCAACTGAAGCAATGTAGCTGGTTAAAAATAAAAACAAGCAATGAAATAACACCAGATGATAAATCCTAATGCAGTGGCAAAGTAAGTAGATATGACTAAGACATGATAACACCTCCAAAATTACTAATCCTATAAAATTCCATCTAAGGTAAGTGAGGTAGATGAGTTCCTAGACAGAACTCAAAAGAATGATTATAAGGTCTCAAAGACACAAACAGATGAATGAAATCAGGAAGGCAATGTATGATATAAAAGAGGGAACCCACAAAAGGACATACTCAAGAAAAACAAACAGAAACACTAGAAAAAAACATAGTAAGTTAAATAAAAGAACTATGGAAAGTCTCTTCAATATACTAGGTCATGGAGAGAACAAAATGTCTGTGCTTGAAGACAAAGTGGAGAAACTGGACCAATTCAATAAGGACAAAGATAAGTAAGTGAAAATACCATCAGACAGACACACAAATAAACCACATCAGAATAATAGTTAAGCAAGAGAAGACTAGGAAAAACAAGTACTACAAAATCAATAAAATAATAGGAATCAATACACACCTCTCATTAGTAACTCTGAATATTAATGGTCTCAATTTCCCCCCAAAAGGAAAAGACTAGTAGATTGGACCAATAACTAGGAATCATTTGTTTGTTGGCTTCACAAACTTCATCTCAAAAAACAGCAACTTCACCCTTAAGTTGAAAGTCAGGTGTTCCAAGTAAATGCACCTAGGAAACAGGCAGATGTTACCCTTCTAATACTGACCAAACAGATTTCAAACAAAAATGAGTGAGAAAAACACACGAGGTCACTGGTTAAGGAAAACAATCTGTCAAGAGAATATAACATTTTAAACTTATATGCTCCAAATACAGGTGCACACGATTTCATAAAACAAAATGTAACTAGATGTAAAATCACAGATTAATAGTAGTGGGTACCTTCAATACTCTTACCAATAGATAGGCAATCTAAAAAAAAGAATAGATAATCTGAACCAAATAACATCATAGATAATGAACTTAACAGAGATCTACAGAATATTCAAGTCCGCAAATTGCAGGAACTTTCTCTAAAAAACAACATAGGTTAGGACACAAAGTCTTAAATACAGGAAAACTAATCTAATTCTTTGTGTTCTATCTGATCACAATGGACTAACACTACACCCCTACAACAGGGAAAACCCTAGAACACACAGAATCATGGAGAGCAAACAACACACTACGGAATGATGAGTGGCCTTACAATAGGAAATAAAGACGTTCCTCAAGACAAATGAAAATGAACACAATGTACTGAGGTGAGTGGGACTGCAGTCCTAAGAGAAGCTTAAAGCTCCACGCGACTACAGTAAGAAATCAGAATGATCTCAAGTGACTTAACAGACAAAGAACAAGTCCCAAGTCAGCAGAAGGAAAGAAGTCACTTATAATCATGGCAGACATTAACTACATGAAAATCAAAAAATATACATAGTTGGAATTTTGAGAAGATAAACAAGATGTAAAGTCCTAGCCAAACTAACCAACAGAAAAGACTCAAATGAATAAGACTAGAGATAAAAAAGGAACCACTACAACAGATGGCAATGCAATTTAGAGAATCATTAGGTCTTATCTAAAAAAAAATATATATATATATATATATATATATATATATATATATATATGTTCCTCTAAACTAGAAAATCTCAAGCTCATTATCAACCAAAATTAAACCAAGGTGAGCCTGGCATGGGATGCACACCTCTGATCCCATATTCAGGAGGCAAAAGCAGGCAGACCTTTGAGTTCTAGGCCAGCCTGGTCTCCATAGCAAAATCCAGACCAGCCAGGGCTACTCAGTGAGTTTCTTGTTTTGTTTTTGATTTAAAGAAACTACAGATAAATTGATACTATTTAAAGGATATATAACTTCACCTTGTGATGAATTATGATGATTTTTCGTAAAAAACGCTTTATAATCAGACAGCCTGTCATCAAACTTCGAGGATTTTCATCAACCTGTAACAATAAACACAGCCTGTAACTCCACATATGTAAACTCAACAGCACAAATAAGTTAAATAGGCATTTCTTCCTATAAGAGTAAATATTCAGGATATCCCAGCCCAAAACTCCAGTGGCAGCACCTGCTCCACCAGAGGCCAAGCAAGTGCCCCCTCTACTTTCTCAGTGCCTGCCCAGCCCACCCAGAATTAGTCCTCCCCTCCTTGTTAACATATCTGATCTCTAGAGGACCCTCAGCTGGACCAAAGGATACAATGGCTGCCAGAACTTCAGCCCCAATTCAGGTGGAAAATCCCTACTCGACCAGAGGCCACCGCAGCCATCAGAAGTCAAGCCCCCAACTTGGATGGAGATTGACCTACTCAACTACAGGCCACTCCAGCCAGAAGACCAGAGAGGAAACAGAAACAAAGGGAACAAAACACCCATCCAACAAAGGCAAACTCAGAAATTGGTACCTAGACCTATGATCACCCCAAACCCAGATGCCTAGATGCCAGTGTAAGAATACAATTAACAACAGCCAGGGCATTATGCCACCACCAGAGCCCTGTTATCCTACTACAGCAAGCCCTGAGTATTCTAACACAGTTAAAGCACAAGGAAACAACATTAAAACCAACTTTATGGCCAAGTGGTGGTGGTACACGCTTTAATCCCAGCACTCGGGAAGTAGAGGCAGGTGAATCTCTGTGGGTTCGAGGCTGAGTACCAGGACAGGCTCCAAAGCTACGAGAAACCCTGTCTTGAACTACCCCCAAACCCCAAAACAAAACAAAAAAACAGCTTTATGAAGATGATAAAAGTCCTTAAAGAAGAAATTAATAAATCTCTTTAAAAATCGAGAGAAAACCAAAAAATTAGAGGAAATGAATAAATCCCTTCAAGATAGTAAAAAAAAACAGTTGAAGGAAACAAAACTGTTTAAGACCTGAAACTGGAAATAGAAGCAATAAAGAAAATACAAACAGGGAATTCTGGAAATAGAAAATCTAGGTAAGTGAAGAAGAATTACAGACATCATCACCACAGCAAACACCACCAACAGAATAAAAGAGATGGAAGAGAGAGCTCAGGCATTGAAGATAACGATAGAAAAAATAGAATCATCAATCAAATAAAATGCTAAATCTAAAAAAAATCATGACATAAAAATTCCAGAAAATCTGGGACACTATGAAAAGACTAAACCCAAGAATAGTAGGAATAGAAGGAGAAAAATTCCAGCTCAAAGGCCAAAAAAATATTTTTAATAAAATCATAGAAGAAAATTTTCCTAAAGAAGGACATGCCTTGGCCTGGAGAGATGGCTCAGAGGTTAAGAGCACTGACTGCTCTTCCAGAGGTCCTGAGTTCCATTCCCAGCAACCTCATGGTGGCTCACAACCATCTGTAATGAGATCTGGCGCCCTCTTCTGGCCTGCAGACAGAACACTGTATACATAATAAATAAATTTAAAAAAAAAGGACATGCCTATAAAAGTACAAGAAGCTTACAGAACACCAAATCAATTGGACCAGAAAAGAAAATTCCCCTTGCTACATAATCACCAAAACACTAAACATACAGAACAAAGAAAGAGTATTAAAATCTGCAAGGGAAAAAGGCCAAGTAACATATAAGGGCAAACCTATTAGTATTATCCTGACTTCTCTCAATGGAGACTCTAAGAGCTAGAAAGGCCTGGGCAGATGTCCTGCAGACTATAAGAGACTACAGATACCAGCCCAAACTACTATACCCAGAAAAACTTCCAGTCACCACAGATGAAGAGAACAAGACATTCTATGATACAGTCAAATTTAAACAATATCTATTCACAAATCCAGCTCTACATAAGGTACTAGAAGGAAAACCTGGGCCCAAGGAGGTTAACCACACCCATGAAAACACAGGAAATAAATAATCTCACGCCAGCAAAACCAAAATGATGTGGGAAGGCCTTCTGTATATGTGTTGCTTTCATTGGTTAATGAATAAAGAAACTGCTTTGAGCCTATAGCAGGGCAGAACAGAGCTAGGCAGGGAAAACTGAACTGAATGCTGGAAGAGAGAAGGTGGGGTCAGAGAGAAACCTTGCAGCCCCGCCGGAGACAGACGCCAGATGAAAACTTGCCGGTTAACCACAGCCACTTAGCAATACACAGGTTAATAGATATGGGTTAAATTAAGATGTAAGAGCTAGTCAATAAGAAGCTAGAGCTAAAAGGCCAAGCAGTGATTTAATTAATCCAGTTTCTGAGTGATTATTTCGGGAGTCTGGGCAGCCAGGAACAAACAAGCATTTTCCTACAACACCAAAAGAAAGGAAGCGTACGTGCTCATGTGCACCCACAGATACACACACCCACAGACACACACACACATACAGACACACACACACATACACACAAACATCACCATCCCACTATCAACGAAATAACAGAAATTAACAATCATCATTGATTATTGATATCTCTCAGTATCAATGAACTCAATTCTGTAGCACAAAAATAAAACCCAGAGACAAATATTGGGATTCATGTTGAAGATCAGAAGAGCAAAGCAGCCAACTACTAGAGAGACCTCTTACCTCTACCAGATCTTCAGACTGAAAGGTTGAGAGCCTGTCTCCATGAATCCTCAGACTCCACACTACACTGAGTTCCTGTCTCTCCCTGTTTCTATTCCTCTCTGCGCCCAGCCATGTCATTCCTGCTCCTTAGTGCTGGGAGTGTGTGACTTCTGAACACTGGGATTAAAGGTGTGAACCTACCACCACCTGGATCTGTTTCTGGATCCATTTTGTATAGTGCAGGGTAGTCTTGAACTCATAGAGATCCATCTGCTTCTGTCTCCTGAGTCACCACTCCCTGGCCTGTATGGCTGCTTTGCCCTCTGATCTTTAGGCAAGCTTTATTTATTAAAACACAAACAATATGCCACTACACAATTCCCCAATAAAAAGACATAGACTAACAGAATGGATGTGAAAACAGGATCCATCTTGCATACAAGAAACACAACTGGACATCAAAGATAGACATTACTGATGTGGATTCCCCTCGTATGCTGTGAATACCATTGGTTAATAAAGAAGCTGTTTTGGGCCTGTGATAGGATAGAGCAGAGCTAGGTGGGGAAAACTAAACTGAATGCTGGATAAAGGCGGCAGAGTAAGGGAGAAGCCATGGAGCTGCCACCAGAGACACATATGCTGAAACCTTGCTGGTAGGCCACAAGCCTCGTGGTAAAATATAAAATAATGGAAATGGGTTAATTTTGGGAGTCTAGGCAGCTGGGAACCAAACAAGCAGCTTTCCACAACACATTACCTCAGAGGAAAGGGTTAGAAAAATATTTTCCAAGCAGATGGAAGCAAGTTGGTTTAGTCATTCTAATATCTAACAAAATGGACTTCAAACCAAAATTAATCAAAAGAGACGGGGAAGGAAAAATCTACCAAAATGATCTTTCAATTCTTAACATCTGTGCCCCAAATGCAAGGACACCCACATTTGTAAAGAAAACACCACTAAAGTTTAAATGACACATTGAGAATGGGAGACTTTAACACCCCATTCTCGCCAATGAACAGGTCATCCAGACAAAAACTAAGCAGAAAAATAATGGAGCTAACAGAAGTTATGAACCAAATGGGCCTACCAGACTCTACAGAACATGTCACCCAAATACAAAAGAACACACCTTCTTCTCATCACTCCATGGAACATTCTCCAAAATTGACCACGTATTTGGTCACAAAGCAAGTTTCAATAGATACAAGAAAACTGAAATATCTCCCTGCATCCCATCAGACCACCATAGATTAAAGCTGTATTCTAACAACCACAAAAACAGGAAGCCCACAAATCATGGAAACTGAACAACTCTCTACTGAATGACTACTGGGTCAAGGAAAAAAGAAATATATAGAGAGAGACAGGGAGGGAGGGAGGGAGGAAGGGCGGGAGGGAGGGAGGGAGAGAAAGAAAAGAAATGAAGACTTCCTAGAATTCAATGAAAACTAATACACAACATACCCAAACTTACGACAATGAAAGTGGTGCTAAGAGGAAAGTTCATAGCACTAAGTGCCTACATAAAGAAACTAGAGCAATCTCATACTAGCAATTTAACAGCTCACCTGAGTTCTCAACAGAAGGATCTCAAATGGATGAGAAACAAAGCTTAACCGTCAGGGAAATACAAATCAAAACTACTGAGATTCCATCTTACACCTGTCAGATGGCTAAAATAAAAAACACAAGAGATAGCTCATGCTGGCGAGGATATGGAGCAAGGGAAATCACTCCTTTATTAGTGGTGGGAGTGCAAACTTATACAGCCACTATGGAAATCAACATGGTGGTTCCTCAGAAAATTGGGAATGGATCTACCTCAATACCCAGCCATACCACTCTTGGGCATATACCCAAAGCATGCTCCATCCTACCACAAGGACTCTTGCTTGACTATGTTCATAGCAGTTTTATTTATAATAGCCAGAAACTGGAAATAACCCTAGATGTCCCTCAAAGAATGAATAAAGAAAATGTGGTAATTAACACAATGGAGTATTACTCAGCTGTTAAAAACAATGATATCATGCTGGAGAGATGGCTCAGAGGTTAAGAGCATTGGTTACTCTTCCAGGGGTCCTGAGTCCAACTTCCAACAACCACATGGTGACTCACAACCATCTATAATGAGGTCTGGTGCCCTCTTCTGGTGTGCAGGCATAATGCAGCAGAACACTGTATACATAATAAATAAATAAATAAATCTAAAAAAACCCCAACGATATTGTGAAATTTGCAGGCAAATGGATGGAACTAGAAAAAAAATCATCCTAAATGAGGTACTCAAGATTCAAAAAAGACAAACATGGTATATGCTCACTTATAAGTGGACTCTAGCTGTTAAGTAAAGGATAATCATGCTACAATCCACAGGCCCAGAGAGGCTAAATAACAAGGAGGGCTCAAAGGGGGAATGTATAATCTCCCTGAGA